AGTGGTTATCTTCACTCTCTTCCTAGAACAGCTATTATTCATGTGATGACTGGAAAAACTTTTCTTAAATAGCATGAGAATTACCAGTCATTCCAAATCCAGAAGCCACCGCTGGCCCCGTTACTGTTTGTTTCTGGCCTGAAGTTCTTGGGCTATTGAGACAACTAGTTTTTGCTAGCTTCTGGACGCCTCCTCACAACCTCCTACTAGGTACCACTGCCATTTGTTTGTCGAGGATGGAAGTGTTCCTTCCCCTCCTCTGGCCCTCCATCTTTGGTTTATATTCCATATGCTGTTAAATTCATTTAAAAAAAAAATTTTTTTTAATACTGTCTACCCAGTCTTCCCTATTCTCCCTTACTCTGGTTTTGCTGTTTTGCTACTATTTGTAATGTAGTTAGACATATTGGGATACTAACATCAATAGCTTAAGTCTTGTTCTATTCCAGAATAGGACTACTCATAGGACTATGAGTATAAATTGAAACTTCCTTTATTAAGAGCACTTTGCCAGTATGTATCAAAATTTTAAATGTACCAACTCTTTAACAGAAATTTCACTTGTAGAGATTTATGCTACTGAGAGATACTTCACATGAAGGTATATGACAAGGATGTTTGTAATAGTGCTGTATGAAGTAGGAAAAGACTGGAAACAAACTAAATTTACATTAGTAAGTGACTACTTAAGTACATTTTGGCCCCTGCAAACAGTACAATGCTACGTGGCCATTAAAAAAATAAAAAGAATAGGCATTATAGAATGAGCTCTACAATATATTATTAAATTATGCTATTTACAGAAAACTTGCTCTAGTTGTATATAAAGGAAAAAGAATTTAAATTCATATTGATTCATATGGATTTAAATTCAATGTGAATAACACATTGAAAAATTGTGGAACTAAACAAAAAACTATTAGCAGTAGTAACCTTTCCAGAGGGGATCTTGGGAAGGAGGCAGTCTTTTCATTATTTGTCTTTTTGTATCTTTTAAACTTATACCATGGGTTTGTTTTCTCTTTAATATTTTTTTGTAAAGTCCTTGACATTTTGGTTATTCTATATTTTCTTAAAAGTTTCATGTTTCTATAAGTATTTAATTCATTCCCTAATAAAAGAAAATAGAAGCACTCATGATCCCAGCCTTCTTGCTAGGCCTCTAAAATACTTTTTAAATCTTTATCCTTTCTTAGAATAGACTTGGGACACTAGTGTTCCCTCTTGGTCATATGTCACTTCATACTATGATATGTTAAAGTACCCAGCAAAGGGAATAAGCCCTTAAATGAGCATTCAGTAAATATCTACTACATTTATTAAAAGAGGGCAGGGTGTGGTGGGTGCCTGTAGTCCCAGTTACTTGAGAGGCTGAAGTGAGAGGATTGGATCACTAGAGCCCAGGAGTTCAAGGCTGCAGTGAACTATGATGACACCACTGCATTCCAGTCTAGGCAATAGAGCAAGAGCCTGTTTCTCTAAAAAAAAAAAAAAAAAAAAAAGAAGAGAAATACCAAAGTGAACATTTCTGAAGCAAATGTGTAGTTACCCCTGCCCCAGACTCTTTTCACACTTTCATTATTTGTGAATCAGTTTCCCTTTTGCTTTTGACTCATAACATAAGAAGATTAAGACCAGAGCCATCAGTGGTTAACAGTTTGTGAGTGAATTGTAAAGAAACAGTACTGATGAATTCTGAAAGATAAACCCACATTCCATTCCCCTTGCTTGGTTTTTGTGTATTGCATTGCAGTATTATCATAATATGATATTTTTTTAAGAGTCATGATCTATTCTATATATGGCAGATAAATGTGGTATTTATTCATTTTGTGTACTAGTTCATGCACTGATGTATACTAGCTTAAACTTGCAAATAACAAAGATGGTAATATTTTTTTAAAATTAAAAGTTGTGCTTATTTGTTTACAAAAATGATGCTGAATATATTCTTTATTTTGTGATACTGACTTTGTCTTCTTATTGTCTGTTACATTACTCATTTCTGTTTACTCTTTTCGAGATGAAAATAAGTACATACCAAAAAATAAACACAGCTTTGAAGATGAAAAAGCTCAAGTTTCTTATGGGATGTAAGTTTTATATCTTTATTAAAGCAGCCAACCTGACTTTATCATCTCACTGTAAGTTACATATAGATGATGATTATTACAGGTTTAAACTTGGTGTCTTTTCTGTGTACTCTCTTATTAAATTAATACCTATGTTCAAACATAAACTGAGGCAGAAAAAGTTCCCTTTTCAGTGATTCTCACTAAATTTTGTTTTGGTTTTATTTTCAACTATATTTAATAATTGAAAACTTCTTGTGGTTAGGATTAGTGTTTGAGATTATGGTGGAATCTAATTATTTTTAACTATTATTATTATTTTTTTGAGTTGGAGTCTCACCAAGTTGCCCAGGCTGGGCTCAAACCCCTGAGCTCAGGCAATCCTCTTGCCTTGGCCTCCCAAAGTACTGGTATTACAGGCTCGAGCCACTGTGCCTGGCTAATTTGAATTTTTAAAGCCTTAAAAAGTGAAATGTAAAGTCATACATTTTTCTCATAGCTTTCATAGTCTGTTAGTTGTGTTTCTTATTTTAGGTGGGCAACACCTAAATTGAAATGTATATCCTTTATAGTTGTAATGATATTTTTCAACTTCTTTAAAGAGCAGTTCATTTAACTAAGAAGAGAAAATAAAAAGAAACATAAAAGGGCAATATACATAGGGCATGTGAACTTGTTAGTTTCCTAACTGAAGTTGACCAAAACCCCCCCAAAGAACCATGTACTATGTTTGAGGAGGAGGCGGAGTCTGCTCATTTGTTTGCCCATTGTGAGGCTGTCCTGCACCTTTGTGCTTTTTGTAAAAGGGTGAAGGCCCCTGAATGGAGCCTTGTGCCCTACTTGATTTGAAATCTTTGCTGTTTATGGAAAGGAACCTGCAGGGCACCCAGCGGGAAGTCCGTGTGGCAAGTGGAAATCTAGGATCTGGAGGAAACATGGTGTTGGAGGGTGGCGATGAGAGGGTAATAATCATTCAGCCTTTGCTTTTGTCCCTCACAAGGCTAATTGTAACCCTCTGCTGGCAACCAGATGAAGAGCTACTCTTTTAAGTATCCTTGGGTTGTTTGAGCTTGCTCTTACCTCACCTCATTGTTGTCAGATAATAAGCAGGACAGCTGGGATTGAATTCTCTTACACAAGTATAATATTGATTGGATATGTTTCTATTAGAGGACAGATATCTGATTAAGGGTTTTCTCTTTTTTTGGAGATTTATTTAAGAGGAGGAAGGAGTTGCATGTGAAAATGCTGGGTTGTTAGCATGCTTCTTTATTTCAGAGCCTGTTTAAAGGCAGGTCTCACCAACACTCAGCTAGTTAAATCTAGTTTGTACAGCTTGTGTACTTTGTAGTACCAGCTATTGGTCCAAAGTTTCTTGGCTTATGAAGCCATGTAATTTTAAATGTATACTGTGTGAGAAAGGGGTGGGACAACAGAGGCTTTTTACAGGGTTTCAACTAATAAACATTAACTTTTAAGTAATATTTTTGGGATTTAATAGCAGTAGAACTTATATATGATGTTTCTTTAATGCTAACACATATTTGAACTGACAAGGAAAGGGAGAGAATTTTATTTTAAAGCAATATTTTCTTTTCTCTTTTTCCTCCAATGAGAAACTGGTTCTTCGACTTTCAGTGCCAATTGAGACACGCTATATTAAGTGTTTAACAATTCTGTCCTATTTGATTCAGGGGGAAATAAAGGTAGAATGTTTAGTAGCTGAGCGTACATAGATAAGTAGCTAGAGATCTGGTAGTCAGTAAATGTGGTATGGTGTAGTATGTGATGTGGGTTACATAATCATTCTGCATGGTGCTGAAACCATGAAGAATACCTCCTGGAAAAGTGTTTGACAGGGTGCCAGAAAGGCCATGTTACTAATAAGTTTATTGTCCCTATTCAGGTTTTTGGGGGGTATGTTTTGTTTCTCACTGTTGTTTTATTCTTTATTATAGTTCTTTCAAAATTATGCCACATGAACATATGGCATTCTGTACATGCTTGCTTACTGGTTGTAGAAATCCCAGGATTCTGTGAGCTTAATAAGAATTGCTAACAAAACAATTAACAGTTAATAACTGTTTTGTAGGTCATTGAGATGGCCTATTAAGATTCAATTGGTAAAAAGTTTTCATTAACTATTTTAATTTTTTGAGGTAATTTTTTTTTTTTTTTTGAGTTAGTGTCTCACTCTGTCACCCAGGCTGGAGTGCAGTGGCACACACGTTCCCGGCCACCACAGCCTCGACCTGCTGGCTCCAGCGATCCTTCCACCTCAGCCTTCCAAGTAGCCAAAACTACAGGCGTGCGCTACCATGCCCGGCTAATTTTTGATTTATTGTAAAGACGAGGTCTACACCAAGTTGTCCGGGTGGGTCTTGAACCTGCAGGTTCAGACAATCCACTCGCCTCAGCCTCCCAAAGTGCTGGGATTACAGGCTGAGCCACCGAGCCCAGCCAGTTTTGAGGTAATATTAAAGGCAACTTGACCAAAACTGGAATTAAACAATACAGCCAAAATCAGAATTAAGCAATACGAGGAACTTTTGGGTTGTTCTGGTTGTAAAGACAGTTGGACTGCAACTGACCTTCCTCCCCTGTTTTTATGGATAGTCATCTTCCTGTACAACACAAATATAGTATTCAGTTTGATGGTCTCAATCAATTTACTTGTTAATTTTATATATGTATATATATAATATATACAATAAACAATATATATATTTCTGCTATTGATGTTTTACTCCTTTTAAAAATTTTACTTCTGAATGTTAAAGAAATTATAGCTGTAACATATTTATATGTCTGCTAAAATGTAGTATCAGTTGGTAGTTTGTGATAACCTTTTGCTTCATTATTGGTTACTTAAAAAGCTTATAACTCACTGAGATACTTATGAAGTGCTTTGTATTTGTGTTTGTTTAGGACATGTCTCAGGAAGGCTATGGAACTAGATCTCAACCTCCTCTGGCCCCCGGAAAACCTAACCATGAAGACTTGAACTTGATACAACAAGAAAGACCATCAAGTTTACCAGTAAGACATTAATGTGCTGATTTGGAAGTGTAATAAGTTGTAATGTAGTGATTGCTAGAAAGAGCTGTTGTTTTGTTTGTTTGTTCTGCTGAGTGTTGTGACAAGGGAGAGAAGTTTCTAGTTTTCAGGTGTATTTTGTGATTCATTAATTTTTTTAGAGCTTAATTCTTGGGAGTTCTGTAGTCTTGGGTAAGTCTGTTTCATCTGTACATAGCTCTGTTGCAGAGTCCAGACATCAGCTGGAAGGTTTTATTTAGTTGCTTGGTTTTGTGTGCAGGAAGGTATTGCTGTTGTATGATTGGGCTTTCCTTGGGTTGTTGTTTTTTGGTAGTGATACAGAACAGAGGTGTCTATACAAAAATTGAAACTTAAAAGGAACTTGCACTTTGTAAGAGATAGAAGTGATGAGAGAAAACATTTGATGGTAATTTGAATTTCTTCTGGGACTTTCTATTTATGTAATGAGAAATCACCTGAAAGGAAGTATTTTAGTTTAAAATTTGACAAAATGGCTTCTGAAGTATTTCCACCAGCAATAGTTTATGGCAGTTGGGGTTTCTACTGGTGAATAGTGGCTGTTGTGTGGGGTATTATTTTGATGCCCATAAACAGTTACTCCGTACTTAATTTGCCTTTTTTAATAATAGGGAACCTAACTTAAATGAAGTTTTTTTTATTAACTAAAATAATAAATCTGGCCAAGTAAATATTTTTACATTTATTTTCTTGTTAAATATTTTGATTTGAAGAATTATGGTACTGCTTAATTTCTGTTAAGAAGGTTTTAAACAGGAATTCAGAACAGCTATGATTTTAATTGGAATTTCAACTGTTTTCATTAAGTAAGACTTATTATGTTACTTCTAAATGTTTGGGAACAAGCATTTGTAGTGAATGTTTTATATGACATGTAGCATGCATGCCATTCCTATCTTAATATGTATGCAGATTTAGAGACGGTAAGTGGTGGCCGCAGGATGTGCACTGTCTTTGAATCTGAAGGATGTGTTTATGAAACCCTGATTTTTACAGCTTTTATTTTATGATGGTAGAAGGTGAAATCTTACTATGGTCTTTAAAAAAAAAAATTTATGTTTTAAAGTTGTGTTGATGATGTTTTTATTGTTAGGTGTTTGGTTCTGAAGGTGGGGAAAAGTGGTGGATTCTGTTTTATTCTGTAAGCTTTTTTTCTTTAGCAGATAATTAACAGTTTGGTGAGCAGAGAGAGAGAGAGAGAGAGAAAGAGAGAGACTGTTGATAAATGCAGCATCGGCCAAATATTTGAAAATTGGCTTTTGTGCACATATGAAATTTAAATTGACTCATGGGAAACAGGTGGACAGTGAGTTCCACTTTTGTATATGCAGTTTTTTAGTGTTTTTGCATTGGCTGATGATTTTGTACTGTGACACAGGTTGCAAAATTTGTCATAAGTTAATACAGATTTTCTCCATAGGTATAAGAATAGTTTGCAGTGCACTGCTTTCTTTATATCCACTTAAAAACTTCAGCATCACTCACTAATGTATGCTTCTTGTCATGGATCTGCTAGGAATGGATGGTTGACATTCAGCTAACCCTATATATCATCAACAGGGATGGAATGATGTGGTGTTGTCCCCAAAAACTAACTGAAGAGTTTGCTCTGGAATGGGTGCTTCTTAAGTTGATTACTAGAAAAGTGAATGAAAGTATTTTAGGGAAGGGAAGCAATATATTCATCAGTAGTTTTTCTGAATTGTTCTATTAGTATTTCTTTGTATATGTATAATTACTATTTTCCTTAACATTTACTTTACTTTTTTCCCAGTGGTGTTCAAAGTTTCCCATAATATAAATTTTCTTATGGAGCTGTTAAAAAAAATGCTTTATTGGTATTTTGTATTTTTGTAACTCACAGATAAGTAGGATGCTGATTGATTCAGTAGTACTTTAAGCACATTTCAGTAATCTTTTTTTTTAAAGAGCAAAGTTTCTAGGTTTTATGTTTAAGTATATAGAAGTGTCAGCTGCTGAATAAAGGAAGAAACATAGGTCACCTAGCATACTTAAAACAGCCAATCCGTTGGAATGAAATTTGGCTTTATTTAAATGCAATTAAATGTGCCTTCTTTCGCATGTATAAAAATTATTATATGAGACAAATATATTTACTTATGTAGATACTTCATTCATAAATAGTTGTACACAGTTAAGGTTGTTATGGTTTCAGGGAATGATTTATTGGTATTCCGTTATGGCTCTAAGTGTTATTTTTATTAAATATTTTAGTCCTCTAACTTGGCTATGTTGATACTGTAGAGAATATAAAGTTTTATTTGTTATCACATCTGAATTTGCTATTGGATCCTTTGTAAATTTACTTTTATGGTATGCTTTTTCTTTTCAAGTGTCAGCAATATAAATTTGTATTTTTATTTAAGGTCAATTCATGCTACTTGTAATCTCTAGCTTTGTAATTTGGAACCAAGGATATTGTGAGTCTTATGCCGTTTAAAAAATAAATAGTGATTCTAACTTACAATTTACTAACTCTATCCATTATATATATGATGATAAGAAGAATGCTTCTCAAGTAATTAGTTCTTAATCTTTTTGCTTACCTGGAGATCGATTTTGTAACATTTTTCTATGTGTGATATTTTCTGTATGCCATAAATATATTTTTCTTTAGCATATTTGTTACATATTCTTTATTTTCATTACAAGAAATCAAGACATCCCCAGTATTCTTATGCTAGAGCTATAATTTGATACCTCAGTAATTTGTTCACTCACCATTGTTTGAACTTGTTTGTCTGTATTTGCATGTCATTAAATTCTTGGTAATCTTCAGTAGTGAATGCAGTTATGCTTTCCAGCTAAGTTAGACAGATCTTCAAGTCATGTACAGAAAACAAATGACTGATAAATTAATACTTTTTCTCATAGGGGTATGGCCAGTAGTATTTACTTTTTTCTTAGT